GAGAATCTTTGTACCTACCTCACAGGGCACTTGTGGGGAGTAAATGAATTAATGCACGTACAGTGATTAGATCAATGACCAGCAGAGCAAACACCGTATAATGTTTGCTGCCATCATTAATATTCATTTCTGTATCCTTAGTGCTGGCCCGAATGAGGTGTCAATGCGCATCGCTGTTGAGTTGAATTCGGCTGGAGACAGGCCGGACACGTCTGAAGAAGTTCAGGGCTTAGAACCACGCTGGGAACTTTAATTGGCCTATTAAGTTGTTTGTGTCATTCTCAAGCCTCCCTCCACTCCAGCTTGCAAGATAGGAAGCGGGGATCACTAAGTAAGACAAGAGAAAGTAGTCCTAAACTTTCCCAAGTGGTGTAGCCTAAGGGTTGGTCTGACCTAAAGATAAGAAACCTGCCTTAGAACTTTATTTTCACAGAGCTTCCCTGGGTCCCTTGTTCGAATGGCACCTACCTGGAGGGAATCACGTATTTAACTATGACCTCAGAATGCGTCCCACTTGTCCTGTGATGCTAGGGGAGGCATGGGATACAGCACCACCAAGTTATAGTAAAGGTGGGGGTTGGGGTGGCCATAGAAGTCTGGGTTATAATTTGCTGTTTCCAGAGCTTCCGATGGCTTAGCGAAAGGAAGGGTACCTGGCAGCACTGGATGCAGGAGAGTGGAAGGACGTAAACAGTGATATCAGATGCTTCCTGGGAAGATGGAGAAGCAGGAAGGCGCGGTGGGAGGTGCCCTAGACTAGCTGTGGTTCTAATGCTACTTTCTAGCTGGGTCACCAGGGTACCTCTCTGGCTTCCTTCTGCTACGTGTTTAAAGACAAGATTGAACTAAATGAAATTTAGTTCCTTCCTGTGTTAAGAGGAAGGTGCTGGCATTCCCTGGGATGACTCTGAGTCTAAATGCATGTTTTAACACATCCTGGGAGGTGCCTGGGTTTGCATGTTTCCTTGGCTCTCTAGAGAGCCTGCCAGCCTTCCCCTGGACTTGTCTGATGCTTCCTACTGTGAAGACCATCTTTTGGATGTAGTGAACATTCCGGAGCCTCTCCTCTCCAGAGAGGTGGTTGATTCTTGGAGGCTGCGTGGAAGACTGGGTCGGCCCCTAGTGGCCGAAGGCCCACAGGCACAACCGGGTCTAGGCTGGACCAGATGGGTCCTGGGAGGCAACTGAGATTTCTCTGAGATCCTTACAGAGCTCTCTCCTCAGCCGAAAGTCTTACCTTAGTCCAGCCTGTCTGAGGCATCGAGTATCTTGATGTTTGTATGTCACTTACGAGTACTTTCAGAAACTCAGATTTGGCTAAAGCATGTAAAAACTTGTGAAGTTAATCGTCATTTCCATTTCATAGATGAAGGGGCTCAGAAAAAGTGACTTGGCCCCAAGTCTGGAAACTCAATAGGGTTTGTCCCAGAGATTTTGTACAAGTCTGTAACTGGTTTGATCCGAGGGCAGTGAATTACAGAGCTGGGGAACAGACTTCAGTCTAAGATGACCCCGCTGCTAGGAGTCCCATGGGGGTCGGGTGCAGGGAGTGAGTTCTGGGCCCAGAACTCTCCAAACGTGCCAGATACGAGAGAAGGGAACTCGGATAAGCGAACGCGCATGCTCATCTCCCTTATTTGTGAAAGAGAGCATCTCAGAGGAGCAGATGACAGAAGAAGTGCGGAGGTGTCTGACTTAATAAGCAAATGCAGTGCCCCCCTTTCATACTGCTTTAAGCATGTGGATAAAAACTCAGAAGCCCTTAGCAAGTTTTCTGTTTTCCTCTGTGAATTTTCCTCACCTTAGTCCTTATCTTCAAAATCATTAGAAATGGGCCAGTTAGGATTCTTCTGTTTCAAAGGCTTGATTAGGGTTCAAATACATAAAAGTGAACCGTATAAAGATTCCTCACCTGCAGGCGAACTGATAAATGTAGGGGACATCTACCTCCGCCCAGGCTGACCGGCCATGGGAGTTCTCCCCAGTGGCCGGGCACCACGGAGGTTTACCCTGCGCCCTTGAGGGAGCCCGGCCCGGGCTGGGAGGATTACATTTCATCCAATGTTGAAATCACTTGAAATTCCCCTTGTTCATCCAGATACAGAAATAAAAGGAGCAACCCACAGTCTTGCTGAGGCAAAAATCTTTCTGGTTAGCCATTACCGAATCTCTTATTCTTTCACTCTTGCATCTATCTGCCAAAAATAGATGGGTCAAAGTCACATATTTTAAGAGTCACATGCATGAGGACTTTCTTACCTCACACCCCAGACATATTGCATCAAAAGATCAAATTATATTTTTACTGTCTTTATCTGTAGACCTTAGAGCTCTATAGAAGCTTTTGAATGAAATGACATTTTTTACCGCTTTCACTTTTTGAATGTACCAGCATTCAGACGGTTCATTTCTTGAGTCTGATGCTTGATGCTGAGGTAGGATAAGGCAGGAGGCCAAACCATTCTTTTTAAATGCCCTGACCTAAACGGTCACACACACACACACACACACACACACACACACACACACACACACACAGAGATAAACCAGTTGAAGTGATATCTTCAAAATTTTCCTTCTCAGCCTGCTGGAGTCCCCTCCACTTTCTGCATTTCTATTTTACAAAATAGAAGAAGGTGCTCCGCTGCCTCATGAGGAGCTGAGGAGTCACAAACAACGAGCCACTCTGACAACCTCTCAGATGGGTCTCCCTGAAATACTCACTCGTCCTCTCCCTGGTTGACCGGCGGCCACAGCAGTGAGTCATCCATTGGGCCTTACCCCGCAGCAGCCGGAAATAACAGCGATTCCAGGGCTCTGACCTGACACTTTCCATTTTTATTGAAGCTCTCACTTCCCTCCAACCTGATTGCTTTAAAGCCAGTTTTATTCCACGCTTGGACTTTGTGCTAATTTGCAAGTCTTTTCCAGATTACACTCTTAAATCAATGCATGAAGAATTGATCAGCTCTCATACATGCCATTCCTTGACAGATTCGGGAAAACTGAATCTCTTGCCATGGAGAGAGGACTTTCCTGGAGGCAGTGGGATGGAAGGAATCCTCCTTATAAAGTAAGAGTTAGGGACTGGGAACTAAAGTTGTGCCTTTCAAGAGTTATATACAAACTGTCTATGTAGTTATAATAGTTTACACTCTATAAAGCTGTGTTTCCCCAGAGACCTCATCCATAGCTAGATCTAAGAAACAAGGAGACTGAAATCTAAAGATCAAAACTCTGTCGGGCTGTGCGCACTTCCAGTGTTGTCATCCTCACCATCTGTGGTGCAAGACACACACCTGGAGGGCCCACTGTCGGTCCCGTACTCAGTCTGTTCCATCTGCTTCAGGTAAGCATGATGCAGAGTCTACGCTCAGACCCACACGTTTCTGTCCCTGTTGCTCTGACCAAGTGCTCCTTTGCCCGGTGCTTTGTCTCCTCCTAAGAAGTTTGCCCAAGTCTCTCCAGGCATATTGCAGGTGTCCTGAAGGAGAAACTGACACGCGGCTCTGAGCACAGCGCTGGGGATGCACTCAGTAGGCTTCTGCTCTTGTGGCCTCATCTTCCCACTTCCTCCCATTCAGCAGTTGGTACTCACACCTTTTCTGGAACCTCTGCCACTTCCATCCCGCCTCTAATCCATGCAAATTCCTTCCTGTGTGGCTCAGCAGGACTTCAGCCACGCTCCACCGATGTCTGCCCAGCCTCGCGTGCCCGGTATGCAAACAAGACACTTGGAGGGGGCGTCACTCCTGTCTGATGCAGCGAGTTGGTAATCAGTTATTCCCCGTTAAGACGTTTTAGTCATCCCCTTCTTCATTAAACAGAGAGCCTAAAACACTATACAGATAAATCTAAGCTCTTTACATTAATAAGCACATGTTTTAGCAATCAAAGTACTGCTCTTAAGTAGAAGAAACAATTGAAACAAGGAAAAGCTTGAATGAAATAAGCCTCTATACATTCACTGCAAAACTGTCTACCTACACCAACACTACAGATGGAACGCAATAAACCTCTGGTGGTGGCAGGACTCAAATGTTTATCACTGCCTCATTTTCTTCTAACCAGCCAGCTCCTCCCTACTTCTCTCCTCTGATTGATTTCTCTTCCTACATCTGAGACTCCTTCCTCCAGGAAGCATTTTCTGGCCCTCACTGGTCTCCTTCCTTTCACTCCGTACCACTGAAACCCATCTTACACGTCCGGTCCCGCACTGGTCTCTTACATGCCTGCAGCTGGCTTTCCACACAGGCAGCCTGGAGAGCAGGGCCTTACCTCCCCTGCACTGCTGCCACAGCGCCTCGCCCGGAGTCCTCGCATGTTGACTCCATGGAGTTTGGGACAGAAACCTAGGTGGGAAAGGACACGACCAGTGGCAGCCAGCCCTCTGTGACTCACAGTTACAAGAACACACAAGCCTCAAGCAAAGAAACTGAAGTAACCTGGGCCCCCAGTCCAAGACTTTTGAGTTTAACTGGAATCAGTGATACACACGAGCTCTTCAGGATCCCCACTGCACAGCCAGCTCTTAGGCCTGACTGCGAGCGGCCTTTTGTGTTAGTGCCCACATTGACCAGCTGGGGCCTTTCATGCTGTCTCTCTGGAAAACAACATTAAACGCAGAGCTGCGCCCTTTACGTGAAGCATGGAGGCCTTGCTGTGTGTTGTTTCAGGAGCGCTGGCATTCCCGCTGGGAACAGCGTGGGCCTCACCCTCTCCTCATGACTAAGCCCAGAGAATGTGGCGTGAAGTTCTGAGCAGTATCCTATCCATTGTCCGCAAATGCCTGGGTTACCCTGCCTGTATCGCTCACTGCTGATCACACTAAATGAGAGGTAACCGGGTGTAAGCTGTGCCCAACCCCAGACCTAAAGGCCATACTTTAAAGCAAGCTGTATACTGCACACTCCCAGTCTACGGCCATGCCACCCTGAGCGCGCCCACCTCATCTGATCTAGGACTAAACTTAAGATCTCCACTGCTCTCCTTTGCCAAGCATGGGCAACCAATACTGGGACACGGTTGGGGGTGGTCTTTTCAGGGCTGGAGATAGATGGATACATGGATACATTTTCCAGCCCTGCAGCAGAGGTGACAGAGGTTTATAACCAGGCCTCTAAAGTGAAGGGCACACAGGCTTTGGATTAAGAATGATCCGGGTTCAAACTCAGGGTGCTGTCTGCTAGGGGGGTAACCCTGGACAAGTTATCAATTTCTGTGAGCCTGTTTACTCATCTGCCAAATGGGACGGACACCACCTCCCGCAGCAGGGTTGTGAAAATCGTGATACACACAAAGCCCCTGGCACGCTCCTTCCACAGAGTAGATGCTCAAAAATGTTAGTTACTATTTTTATTATCCAAGAGCTTGAGATGGCTAGAGTCCATGATTTTTAATTCACTATTTCAGTCTTCTCAGAAGAGTCACCCAGGACTAGAGTTAAAAATATTTTTATCCCATGAAGCTGTTCCATGCCTGTGAAGGCTATTAGTCAGTGGGTGGGAAAGATGAGAGCACTGAGCTGGGAGGATGCTGTCCATGCCCCAGCTCCCTTACGGCCTCAACACACACACACCCCCGCAGACTAAGCTTGTATGCCCATCTGTCCATGTGCGCAAGCCCAGCTGATGAAAATGCCTGTGGTCTTGAAGGTTTTCAAAAATGGGAGAGTGAATGGGAAAGTGAGGGAGGCCTCAGAGAACTATGTATATTCCATTAGAAGAGAAAGCGAGCGAGAAAGAGGGGTGACTGCTACATTTTCTTGTCATTAGCAATATGATGACTCCCATGGGCTGGGGTCCCAGTCTGATGAGAAGAAACGACTCGAAGGTCATGGATTGACCTCACTGTCCACTGTGAAAGCTCCCGCAGCACCTTCAGGCCCCACAGCTTCTTCTCAAAGAGACCCCCATCTCCAACAGTAAGGGGCATCCCATCGGCCTCACTGGGGGGGATCTTGTGTTCCAGGAGCGCCATTAATTCCTCGAGCTGGTAAGCAAAGGCAGCAACTTGAAGGAGAATGGTATGTATCGCTTGATGGAAGTCACCTTCAGCCGGAGTAAAATGGACCCGTTGGTCCTCTAACAGCCTGGCCAACATGACGTGGAAGGCGCGGTAAGCTTGGAGGTTCTCCTGGAGTCGCTCTGCCTCAGTCAGCTCGCTCCATCGATTAGTGCTTGCCATTGGCACACCATCCACAGAGTCCAGGTTCATGTTCTCGTTCAGACCCTGATGCTTCACCTGGCCAAGGATATAGAAAAATATCTCATCCTCTGTAATGACTCCACCATTCTTACTTACTCCTTAAATCTCATACTCACTCAGGATCCATGGCTGACTTTAGGAAGACCCTGTTCTCCCTGAAATCACACATACTGCTCTGACTACCTGTTCATCTTTCTTGGGAGAACTTGCAGCTTTCACTAGGTTCTGAACAAAGGTTGCAAACCACTGACTGGTCCAGAATTAACTTTTCCTTCCCACTTCAAACTCCCCCCAGGAAACTGAAGTATTTTAACCGCACTGGAGTTTAAGTATTTTAAATATACTTGCTTGAAGAAACCGGTCACAGCGAGGAAGCCCTACAATATAGCCATCGTAGAACTTTTCTAACAGTCCTCTCTCCTCCATTGTTCACTCTCAATGGTGAGGATAATCCTTTAGAGAATTCAGTGGAAGTTTTTTTTTTTTCTAATTGGTATCTTTACTTTTTGTGCCCTTTTTAAAAATTGGTATTTCAAAGAGTCTCATTTCTGATGGGTGGGGCTTGGCTCTATGACGATGAACTCCATGGTTAACTCCTTAAGAGTCTGATGCTTCCCCAAGTCCTCACTGACTCTTCTAGCGGATTTTTGGAGTGTAGGTGGGCCTTCTATGTAGACACTTTGGACTGTATGTAACTTATCAGTGGGCTGCTAATACTGTACAGGAGAAACTGGTTGGGTATTTATACTGTTCTCCCAATCCTATAAACTTCACTCTTTCATTTACATAGCTCAAAAAATTAGAACAATGTTCACGAAGAACCCAAACCTAGAGGGCTTGTGGCTAGTATGTTCCAGGAGAATTCAGACTGTAGGCAATCAACTTAGGAATAGTCTCCAACATACACACCAATCCGACCTAGAACCCCACGTTATGTTATCTTATTCAAGGAGCAACATGTCTCTTAAATAGCCTAGATAAAGAAAATAAGGTCACATGGGTTTCCTCAAGGGAAGGGGCCATGTTAAATGATAGGTGTCCAACATATAATGACTGTATGATTAGGGCTTTTGTAACTGATAACGAGGCTGGAGCATGATGGCAAGGGGCTGGATCAGAAGAGACGAAGCAAAAATAGACAACAGCAAAATAGGCAACTTACATAAGATTCCATAAGCGCAGTCAGGTCTGAACGAATCTTCCTTGCTAGCCAGATAGAACGGCTACAGAGGTCCCGGCGGTGAGGGGTCAGCGGTGAATGCTCTGCGAAAGCCATCCCCTAACTCAACTGTCCCAGGAAAGCAGTGAGCTGAGTTTGCTTCTGTCTATACTGGTCCAAATAAGAAATGTGACTCTCAGACTAAATCCACTGGGCATTTCTCTACTAATGGAATTGTGCACCCCCACCCCCCGCTGCCTGACTCAGAGGTGGCAGCAAATTCCTGGCTGTGGATTTTTGTGCCTGTGGAATCAAAGGCCGTTTTTTAATCAGCTTTTTGTTTTTTTTGCTTTTTTTTTCCTGCAGCGTCTGCCTCCATCTCTCTCCTCCACTCAGTGCCTAGTGTACTTGTTTTTATGTCATTGTTTTGCTTTTGCACTTAGCAACAAGGTCACTATCACACTAATCCCTCATGACACCCCTGCCTAATGCAATCTATTTCATACACACATATTCAGTTTATTTTACTATCACCCTTCCTGTGTTTCCCATGTCCTTTTCTTTCTTTTTTGGTCAGGTAAAATATTCAGTAGTATGAACTTACTAGTATTACTGATACAGTTGCCATTCATTACGCATCTACCCTGGGCCAGACACTGCTAGTTGCTTTAAAGCCTTTATTTGATCTTTAGATTAATTCTACAAGATAAACATTTTCCTCATCCCACATAAGAAATCGAGGCTTAAAGAACTGTGCACAAAATCCAATAACTAGATTCAAATTTAAATACAGACCCTTGATTCTTTGATCCAAAACTGTTTCTCCCACTGACTTTTCAGTATCATTCTTTAGGTAGTTCATATTATGTTCAAGACACAAACTATACATGAAGTAGATCCTGTAAAAATATAGTGTCTTTTTACTCCCATGCTTTTGCTATGTGTTTAAATGTACACTTGATTGAAAATCACGTAAGGAAGCATCTCTGATCTCAATCATGGTGCCTTCCTTGTAGCTACAGGAGGAGGAAGGTACTGTTTAGGCCTGTTCTCTTCCAAAGGACAGGAACACCCAGCCCTGACTTGGTAACATCTCTAAGGCAGTCTCACTCAAGTGACAACACGCTTTTCTTTTTCTTCCTTATTCCAAGTCATACTACATTGCTTCTTAACAAAGTCAGAGAATGAGCTGGACTTCGAAATGAAGGCATAGAGCCGAAAAGCGCTTGAGAGTTGTTGTTCTAGTGCATTTAACTCGGTAGGCTGGAGGATAACGCCAACTGGGTGAGAGTTACAAGTTTCATCCTCAAGTCAATCCATTAGTTTCACTATTTCCTATCATGGGCATTGTCTCTAAATTGAAACAAGCCTCAAATTTCCACACATAAACGATAATCAAGGGACGTAAAGGATAAAGAGATGAGGCCTGAGTGGCTGTCACAGCAGGCCTTTTAAGAAGCGAGGATTCTTTTTCCTTTCCTTTTTTTTTTTAACAACTTTGTACTCACATGGACAATGAGTTTTGTGAAAAGCACTGATATTAAACGCTATCAGGGCCTTGTCATTATCAGAGTGAAATTAACCTCATAGCTTACTTAAGGTTCTTCTCACATCTTTCCTAGACCGCCGAAACATGGAAAGGAGTTCCAAGTCTGCCAGGTGACCACAGACTCATACGACACCTCAGCATGAGAAATCAGGAACTAACCAATTCTCAACAAGCACAAACCACAGTATCGGCCACAGAAAACCTGTTCTGAGGGCACTTGGTTTTCTCATTTAGCAGCATCCACTACTTTACCCCAGGATGACTTAACTCAGTACAACCAAGGAAGACCAGTTGCTTCCATGAAGACAACTTTTATTTTTCTTCTTTACATACTTATTTTGGATATGCCCTACCTAGATTAAGAGAAAACAAGGACTTGAAAAGCAGAGTATCCCTTTTATTATAATTTCTTTTTACATAACCTTTTCAACCTAGATTCAGGTAACTACCTGTCTCTCCCATCAAAGGAGAAGGGTCCTGCATATTACAATAGGCAAAAAGGCTTTTAGGAAATAAAATATTTTAAATTGATTCATTACAATTTTTCAATTTTCTTGAGTACATTGAAAAGTGGGAAAAAGACAGGAGGGGAAAATGGTACTTCAAACCACCAGACTGCAATAACCTTAGTTTAGTACACTCTTTATATTTTTTTCTCCAAACAGGTACAAAGGAGGTTCAAGTGCTCTGTGTGGATGCTTTTCCTTACCTTAATATATCTTATGTTTTACTCCCAGTAATCTTGGCCAGTGTTTATCGAAACTCTCTGAAGCATATTAAGTCTCAGTTATGCAAAATTATCCTGGGCAACCACAAACAAGGGGGAAACACGTCTTGCAGAAAGAGTACTTGTAGCTCAATTACATTTTCAGAATTCAGAATTGCTAGTTCAAGACTGAGAATATGCAGTGGGAAGAGTTATCAAAAAGGTAACAGAATCTGAGTAAGATGAGGAAATGCAGAATTTTAAGATTAAGAGAGTTCCTCAGAAGGACAATGAAGTAAACAGCATGAGGAACAGAATGGAAAAGGGAAGAGAACCTAGTACAAGACAGTTCACTTAAACCAACTCATTACTTTGCTAACATCCCTTTCTCAAAAGAAAAAAGAACCAAGTCCACGGAAGGATTTTAAAATGTATCGCAAACTGCTACAATAATATACTGAAGCAAACTGCAGGCAAATGGTAGCCACGAAGAGGACTACAACAGGGGACAAAGAACAGAAACTTCTAATTACCAGAACTAACTGGTTGCTTTCAGTGGGGAGGAGTGTGATTCAGGGAAGAACGTATTTCCCCTCTATCTCATCAAGGTTTTGTTGTTGTTTTCTAATGCAGTTTGCTCTTGTGTGGGTGGCTAAAATATCTGATGACTAGCCACTGCAAGTGCAACTCATGGAGACAAAGGATGAGGTAAGTGTGACGGGACAGAGGCAAGTGCGGGGTGTGGAAGCTAGCTAGTGAAACACTACCAAACGGACTCGTCCGGCAGCGGAGCAACGTTGTCGTCGACCCATCTGATCAATCTTGTGTTTTCAAATCTACTCAACATACCAAAGTCAACTCCATGTCCTCACTGTGGGCAGGAAAGCATTCTACGTCCCTTCTAGCCTTATTCCACTGCTCACCCCAACACTGGAGGGATGGCAAGTCTGCGACACTGAAAAGAAACAATAGTGCATTTAGGATTGCTCACTGTAGGTGTCCCACCCCCTATTCTCCGGCATCCCAACCGCTGACACTAGTGGGTGTAAAGCCAGCCTCTTTCAGAGATGACATTTTGTTACCCTTCTTTATGGAAAAAAATCAGAGAAAATTGATAAACTTTGTAGTTTTAGTGTTCATGAAAAACAAGCTGCTCCTTATTTCATCCTCAGCAAACTTCATTCTTTCCAACAACCATCACACATTTCTGACAAACAATGAATAGGGCAAGCCTTTAATTCCAGCTTCTGAGGTACGGAGGAGAGAAACTGCCCTTCTAATTCTCTAAAAACGAGCCAAAATAGGTTTTCAGTCTTCTGGGAGTTATGGAGTTGTACAAAAACACACTTTCTCCCATGGACAGTAGTAAGTAAGTGTTCCACCCCACGAAAACCCCTGTCTCAAGGGAAGGGGTGATCCCCAGAACTTCGGGTGAAAGCAAAGCATTATATGGATGACTGACTTCGTGGAAGCCTTTCTGTTTCGGAAGGGTTACTAAAAGCGAAACAAAATACAGCAACTTTCTCTGACTTCAGACTGCATGAGCGGACCATCCCTTCCCCGAGGGCAGTGTCCTTCACCAACGGGGAGCTGGAACGCACCAACGACAAAGCAAAGCAAAAGCGCAGCAGGGGCCCGAGCTGGGCTAACAGGAGGCACGTACAAAGAAATGATGGGGACAAAAAACGAAAACGATCAAGTTCGTAAGAGAAAACCTTTTATCTCTAATTTAGACTCCGAACAGTTTTCCTCATCCCCTCAAAATTCCTAAACCTCAATGTTCTAAAGACTCAAAGAGCGCTAACTACCACAAACCTAATGTCTTTCCCCAAAAAGGCTTCCGACAAAGCGTGGGGCTACTGTAGTGACTGTGTTAGTGTGGAGGACCAGTTTCTTTAAAGGCCACTGGAGAAAGCTATGATTTTAGGGGCTGGTGGTGCTTCTTCAACCCTACCTCTCACCTTCTACAAGTACCTCTTATGCAAAGGACCCCACATCAGAATAATCTACTCTCTCCCAGCCCCACAAAACACAGCAACAAAGACAAAAAAAAAAAAAATCAGACTTTCCGTTAATAAATAAGGACTCTCAGGTTTCACAACACAAAGACACACATGTTCAAAGTGCAAATCTCTGCCTTTAGCCTGGGACTCTTCTCACTGCCTCACTGATGCAGAGCCCTGTCTTGTGGTCAGAGAGACCACGCAGAGGGCAGCCCCCTCCCTGCTGGGGGCCTGCTTCCAAGCAAGGGAGCACCACTGAGAACCTTACGGAGGTGTCGGGAGGGGGACTGAAGAAGGTGGTGAAGGTGAAGAGGTGGGAGATGGTCCCCATGGATCCTTCCTTTCCTAAACCCAGGGGGAATGGAAGGAAAGGGGGTGAGAGATGTGTGCTGTTTTAACAGCTCACCCTGCTAAGGGGCCTTAAAGTGCCAAGTCAAGCTGCCAGCCTCCAGAGATTAGAATTATACGGTATTTTGAAGATAAATGTGCTGCAGGGGGTAGAAGCCAGAACCATAGGGCAGCAGTAAAGGAGGAGAAGGGGTTTAGAGGATATTAATATATCATTAAGAATTAAAAGCTGATCCAGAGCACATCAGAGTTACAGGTTGAAAAGGGGGATCTGCTGATGACCAGGAAGTCTGCCTGGCTGGAACTGAAGGTAAGAGTAACCCTCACTTTAAGAGCTGTTTCTTTGTCTAGCTTTCTGGTAAAGGCAACATCAATTTTATGAGGAGGAGAATAGAGGGAGAAGGGGAGGTGTGTGTGTGCGTGTGTGTGTGTGCTGTGATCCACAATGGAAAGAGCAGGCCCTTCAGTTATTTTACTAGATTTTAAATGCTTTAAATTTTTTTTTTGTCCTTTTATCTTTTAAATACAAAGTCTTAGCTGTCCCAGCGCCCAAAGTCTTCCCTTCCACTAAGGTCCAGTAGAGTCTGAATCTTCAATCAGAACCTCTGTGGTAGCACCGAGTATATCCGAGTTCATGACCAGCCCTTCAGCGCCCCCACTGCTGCCACTTCCCACAAAGATCTTTCCGTCAGCCATCAGGCTCACCCGTTCCGTCCCACTACAGTATGACTTTGACATCCCTTCAGCTTCTAGCAGGAGGCACTCTCCAGAGGTGGAATTTCCCAAGGGCTCAGGAAGGAGAGGAAGACCTTGACCATCTGCAGGTTGTGTCAGGGACTCAGGATTAGTGCCCAAGATATCTGTGCTGGTGATGAGGGCGCCTGCATTGGCAGCCAGAGCTTCAGCAATCAGCACCTCAGGGTGGCTTTTTGCTTTGTGCGCCACTACGCTGTCCTTCTTCTCAAATTTTTTGCCACAGATATTGCAAGAAAACTGGTAGAAGGAATCTGCATCGTGCTTCTTCATGTGCCAATTAAGGGATGCCTTTTGCCGACAGGTAAATCCACAGATCTCGCATCTAAGGAAAGTGGGAAAGGAATGGCTGAGCAAACAGAGCAAAGAAGAGGCCTCCTATTTAGGGCCAGGATGAGAATTTAGAGGTCACGTGTATAAGCAACAGTCAGTCATGTACATACTTCTTGTGAAAGATTAGAAAAAGTTACTAGATAGAAAATTAATCTGATTTTTCCCCCCTTCTTTAAGAGGAAACAGAAGAAAAAGGTCACTAAGTAGCTCTCCTAATTAATACCCGCTCTTTAACTTTAAATACCCGCTATTTAATAAAAGTGAACAGCAGCGGCAGCTGAAATGCCTGTCAAGGGCCTAACCCCTAAGTGGGGGATACGCGCTTCTCACCCCGACGTTCACCGTGAGTGAGTACTCACTGCAATGGCTTCTCGCCAGTGTGAATCATCCGGTGCACGGCCAGGTTGTGGGAACTTTTGAAGGCTCGAGCACAGTATTCACAGATATAATCTCTTTGATCTAAGAAGAAAAATAACGTGGTTAGTGTCCCACTTAGTATCCCTCTTCAGTATTTTAACCTTGCTTTCAACAAGTACGCAGATGATCAGGCAGGTGACTTTAGAGGAAAAGCAATTGCTTTCAATGTACAAGCACTTTGGATAAACAAAACTTAAAAGCAAATAATATTGTTTTCATCACTTTTTGGTCCATTTATTCAGCAGCATTAGAATCTATTTAAAAAAAAACCACACCTAGATAGTAATATGAGACCTGAAATCCTAATTTCAAGTTTACCAGTAATCTATATCTTGGATAAATTACTTAGCAAGTGAACAACTACAAAATTTTCATATATTTTATTCTTAAAACAACTGTTTTCACACACTGTGAAAGCTGAATATCTACATATAAAGAATCTGGCATTCATCCACCACCACTGCCAACATAAGAATTTGGTACTCCCTGAAGAAAAGTGATCCACATCCAACCTGGTACTTACGTGTTCCATTTCAGGTTTAAAAAAATGTTTCCCAAGATAAACAACTTAAACTTCTTTCAAAAGAGTCAAGCTACTGCTACCAAATATATGCAAACAGTACCTGTATTTCTTTCCCTCATTCTCTTACCCCTCATCTTCCACACATTTCAACCACCTCCCTCTGTCATTTCACAACCCCCCAAATTTCTCGGGATTTTTGATGAATTTGGTAACATGATGTGGAATCTACAGGGCAAAGCAGCATTGTATTTAATTACTTCTTTACTTGAATAAGAAGTAATAAAATACAAATTTGGTTGGGGAGAAAGTGGACAGATGCTCAATATATATTTGTTGAATAAGTGGCCATTACACATTTTCTATGCTTTTCATTTAAAGTCACGTTTTTCTCAAACTTGAATGTACTGAGGAATCACCTGGGGACCCAGCAGACGCAGGCGAGATTCAGCAGGTCTGGGATCTCTGCCACTCACATAGCTCAAGTGATGCCAACGCTTACTGGTCTCTGTTCTACATCACTGAGTAATAACTGAGCCTAAAAATGCACACTTCTAACCCAGGGACTGCTCCTGGTATCTGATCCCCCAGGTCTTGCCCACTTTTCCAGCCCCACAGCAGTACGGCAAACGAGTGAGGGGCATCTATTTGTTTAAATAAATCATATTTTCAAAGGCAGCCAGTATACACTAAATTGGAAAAGTCTAACACTGACATCATAAAATTGTATTAACCAAATATAAACATTTGAACAGCACTTTATATGTTATTTCATTTTTATGCCTTATTTTATAAATGAGGCAAAGTGAGAAGAGAAGAAATTAACTTTCCTAAGTCACACATTTAGTAATCATTTAGTAAATGATTACTAAAGTGGTTATAAATGAATGATGTTTGAATCCACTCTACAAGTCACACAGAGAGACTCAGTTTCTCCTTCCAAGCCAACAGCGCCCACAGGGGGGTACACGTGAACGCAGCAGCTAGGCCTTCTGACTGCGGCAGCGGCGGCCGTCCCGGGAGCGCCCTGGCTGTCAACACGAACTGTAAGCAGGCCTCCTTACCACTTAGGCTTTCTCTCCACACACTCCTCATCTTCAGTCCAGGCAGACACAAGTACCCATCTGCCCAAGGAGCATTAGAAACCATGGTTCTGCTAAAAATTAGCCATGTGACCATCGGCTAGTTAACTAATGCTGCCCAGCCTCCAGTTTCTTAGCTGTAAATCAAGGCTACTACAAGCGCACTTGGTGGTGTTGAACGGATGGACAGATCAGAAAAAAATATTACCAATCTAAGCACTTACAAGCACGGTGCATTTAGCTATTTGGTAAAACATTTCATTTACGCAAGCACCTGTGTGATGTTTGGCATGTCGCAGAAGTTGCTTCTGAAGCCTGAAGAGTCGCCCACAGGAGGGATGGGGACACACGTATTTCTTCTTCAGCAAATGCTGATATTTAATGTGGTGCTAAAACAGTAAAAGAAAGTGAATGGGGATAAAAATTAAGGCTTCCTGAAAGCTCATCTCGTTCCTTTGCTAAGTCAAAAGTGTTGAAGGAAAACCAAATGAATAGGGAGCAGTTTAATAAAACAGTTAAGAACACAGGCTACGGAAAGAGACCTGGATTCCAATCTGGATCTGCCATTCACGGGCAGTGCAATCTTAGAAGACGAGCTCCAACACTGTGAGCTCCAGTTCTCATCTGTAACATGGAGGTGATGACAACTGTCTCAGAGTGCTGTCGTGAGAGTGCAGGGATCGTGTATCGGACGGTGCTCGGTGCAGCAGACAGCACGTGACAAAAGAATAGCAGCTGTAATCATTACAGGAGAACCAGAGTGACAAAGAAAGGCCTGCGTCTTATGTTAGACTTGCTGCTAAAGATCAAACAGGCACGTCTTAAGCTTCAGTAATCAACTTTTCACTTCCGTGTTTTCTGCCAGGCAAAATACAAGCTTAAAAAAAAAAAAACTCACTTAAAAAAACCCCTAAAAACTAAAAAATTTTCAATTTATTCTAAATAGTATTTAAGATACCATGGGTTTCAGTTGCTAATTTTATTCTTTAAAATTATACATTAAAATAAAATCTGTTCATCTGCGCCTTGGTATGTGGTTACACAATCATCTCTTACATCAGGAGTACTTGCACCATAATGAGAAACACTGGAATATTCCAAGATTCCAAGGAAATATTTAAGCTTAGGTTCTTAGTCACTTGAACAAAAAAAAAAACAAACAAACAAAAAACCCCACAACTGAAGTAATTTTATGTTTAAAAAATATTTTTCTTGACATTATATAATAATGATAAAGGCTACACAAGTTCACAAATTGTAAAGTCTCATAAAATATGAGAACTAGTAATGCAACATAACCTGAAAGGCTGCCTTACTGAACAACTTCACTGACCTGCAAGTAGCGGGGATGAGCAAGAACAGTTCCACATCCTTCCATCTCACAACGGACATACTGGATTGGAGGCTTTTTTCTATTATCAACATGTAGAAGAAGCGTGAGCAACAGAAAAGAGGCAGTATGCACAGTGGTCTTTAACTCAAACTGCAGTACAGGGAATAGCTACCTTATAGTACGAAGAATTAAAGTCTCTTTACTAGTTTATAGCTTGCACAGAATTGACGTTAGAAGTAACCAGAAATTATTTAATACAGCTTTTAAAACAGAGTACAAAATAAACTAGCCCACCCCCAAAAGGAAAGGAAGTGTTAAAATTTTTAGGAACTTGAAGATCCTACAATGGAAATAAAAACACAGTAACTCTGCATCAAGGACATTCATCAAGTTGTGAAGTTTTTGTGAAATTTTTAACTAGCCATTCCTGCAGGGTAATTATGAGGGCTGAACACGTGAGTGAAGGGCCCACCACCAGAAAGAAGACACGACATGGCAGGAGTATAAATTACTCACCTCCTTTTGGGTAATCGTGGACTTTTGTCATCTTTTCGCCTTCTTCCTCTCCTATGATTAAAGAACAGTGTAACTGCCCACATACTCCAGATTGAAGCTTGTAGTGGAGGATAGCTGAGGACACATACTCAAGACCAAGGAGCAGGTGGAAGAGACAGAGGATAACCCAAAATACATAGAGCCAAAGACATATCTGGCCAACCAAAGATTTCACCGTGAAGTGATTTCACTTGCAAGTACATCTGCACCACAAGTTAAAATAATGTACCTTTCATAAACTATGCATTCTTATGGAAGATCACATAAACCTCAAGGTTACTACTTAAAGAGTTGTTTCAGTAAAAAGTCCACCACTTAAATTTTATAAATTTAAAAAGTATAGTAAGAATCGATCATCTAAAAACTCTCAGAATATAAACTACACTCTCCTGGCAGCAGAGACAAACGCCTACATACTGAAAAAAAGCTACTTATACGACCAGAAATAACTGCTAGGCACAGAGTATACACCTGGTCAAGGTTATCACGCCATTTGCCTTATTTGGCCTCTTTAGAGGACCTACATTTGCCAGACTTCTTCTTGCTGTCTCCACCCACTCTGCATCCTATAGCTACTGTCTTACCCACTCATTTGAATGTCTTTAAGTACTGCTTTGAATTAAACTTTTGCAACTTTTGAGAAGAGTCTCTCCAATGAAACTGTCAGTTGCCTGAGACAGCAATACGTGTATGTCAATATCGTTCCTCACACGCCCACCCTTTTTTCCACTAGTGGCTTGAAAATCTGTTAAGTTCCCATTTTTAAAAGTAACTGCCTACTCACTTCCTAGGAGGCTCCTCATCTTCCCTAATTTCATTCTCTTCTTCTTTCACTTCTACCTCTACTTCCACTTTTATTTCTTTCTTCTCTTTCTCTTCTTTCACCTTGCCTGATTTTCTCCGTGGTTTTGGGGTTTCCCTGAAATTACAAATACATTTCAACATTGGTATCCAGCAAAGGACCTTTTCAAGGACAACTGTGACAACAGGGTAAAGTCTGAAGTTATCACTGATTTCTTGTGAAATTATAATCCCCGCCTATGAAATGTGGTTTCCAGCCAACCACTCCTTCTCATATGCACAGTGATCACACAATTATATTTAAAAGCCTATGAGCTGACTCCCAGGCTAACAATGCCTTAGAATCAAACCTCACTATAGTTGTAAAGAGAAACAAGACAAAAGAAAGAAATCTTAAGTATTCAGGCAATCATGATATCTCAAGATAAAACATGCAGACATCACAATAATTTGGATATGATCAAAACAAAGTTCTATAAATGGAAGAGATGGCTGTATGAGGGGTTAATAAGATAATGTTATATTCGCAAAACAAGTGCATAATTACTCATTTAAAATTAAGTCCATACCCATTAGTTGGGCAACAAGGTGAAATAAAAGCATGCAATAAGGCTTTTCTAACTTATTTTTCACCAACAAATTCGAGACATGCCTTTCTAAATGGGGTTTGTAGGTCTCATCTCTTGGGTCATCTTTGAAGGGAATTTCCTCTTCACTGATCAACATCTCTTCTTCTTCTTCCTCCTCCTCATCACTGCTAAAAAGCAGCAAATAGAGATTAGAAATTCAAGTTGTAAGAATTATATCCAGTCATTTATTTAGAGGGAGCCAAAAGATTCACAGTAAGTTATCTAGGATTTTCATTCTTGTGGTCTGGCTGGACTGCCATCTAGCTGCTTAATCGTAAAGAATAATAACTGGAACTAAAAATACTCAAGTCCTAGACATCACTTCATTACTTCATTAAATACGAAGTGAAATAATCCCTTCATTAAATAAAAGCAAGGCAATGATGGCTCAGTGACACTAAGAGCTAAAAAACAATTGACTCAATTATTTCAAGCAGAAAACAACCACATCATTTGATGTGATTATGCTCTACGTACCCAAAGATTTGAATATAAAACATTAAAAGTTTCTTACCTAATGCCACCCGGAGACTGATGCTCTTCAGCAACATCTGGAAAAATAAAGTCCAAACAAAACTTATCTGTGTGGGTACAGGTATTTTCTCTCTGTAGCCAAGAGACTCAAATCAAATTACTGCCTAGGGTAATTATACAAAAGGAGAATTATCCACAAAATGTCAAAAAGGAACCCTTCCTATACCCCCACAACTGCCCCTGAAAGTTAAGCTGTTCTGGTAAACATTCAATGTTGTATTTAAAATCAACAGGCAACTGGTTATGGAAGAACCACACTCTACTTGCACTGTACCATAATCAAGCTGATCTGTATTTGGTTCGGACTTGCAGATGAGCTGCAAGGAACCAGTCTTGGATCTAGAGCTTCGGGTGTTCTCTGTGTCACGGTGCCGAGAGACAGACGTCCTGCTGCTGCTGCGCCAGCCCCGGCTCGGCCTAGCTGCAGCGAGGGAAACTTCCTGAGGGAGGGCAGGATCTTCTTCCTCTTTCTCTTCCTTGGGATCTAGATGAAAAGATATACCATTCTTTTTAAGTTTACAGTTAACCAATAACCATTTCTTGTATATACATTGTTATAAATATAGCCAATGAAAAGATGAATTTTTTTTCAGGAAAAAAAAATTCTTAGAATTTTACTGACATAATAGAAGCAGCAAGATGAGAGGAAAATGTAATAAAGCCTATCCTTACTGTCATCACACTGAAGAAAAAACTGCATATGTTGCAAAGTGGTAATTTTGTATTGTCTTATCTACTAGAAAATGAAATGCTAAGAGAAATACAGCTAAGATCTAACCTTTTATTCTATATTTTAACCTTTAGATCTAAGACAGAAATAACCAGATTGAGTAGGAGGCCCCCAAGGATGACCAGATCTACCAGAGGCACAAAAACGAAAAGAATCATAGGTCTAGATGGTATAACAAATACTGCTGCAGGTAAGTGCTAAAGAGGAATGCCTTCCCTTGATCCTACTCAGTAACTTCACTTAGTATATTAAAAGTGAGACTATTTTGACTATGCAAGAACCTTTTAATCTCAGAATGGAAAAGTTCTAAGAATAGCACGAAATCTCAGGTCTTAAGATTGATACATCTGACTACATAAACATAAAAAGCTCTCTGCATGGCAAATTCCACTATAAGCAAAGTCCAAGAGCCCAACAGAAAAATGGCAACTCAGTAAAAACATGGTTTTCAAACGTATGAACAAACAAAAATAATGACAAAAAATTCAATCCACCCATAACAAGAGAAACTCAAGTGAAAATGACTGTGCCATAGTATTGTTCCCCTGTTATATTGGCAATGATCCAAACGTCTGACAAAATACTGTGTGGGCAAGGCTGCAGGAAAAACAGGAACTCTTAACAGAGTAACAGCAAAACCCTCTAAGGATAATTTGGCAATATCTATCAAAATTGTAAGTACTTACACCTTTTTACATTAATTTCAACTACTAGGAACTTATCCTCCAAAACTATAATCACACTTACAAAGTGACATATATAGTCATGGCACTGTTTTTTAGTAGTAAAAGTAGAAAACTAAATTTCAGGAGGGGACCAGTAATATGAATTATGATACATGTAGTCAATGCACAATAGCGTGAAATCAATTCCATGACACTTTATTATGCCAAAAAAACCCATATCCATAAAATGTCCAAATATTGTATATATGTATATATACACGGTATAAATAAATATGCAATATATCTTAATACATTAATGTAGTAACAACTCTGGACAGATTACAAGAAATTGATAAATACTAGTCACCTATCAGGTAAGATCCAAAAATACTTCCAGGAATTCTACCTCAAAGTATCTACCCTACGAAAATTAACTGGAACATGGAGTTCACTACAGCACATTTATAATAGCTAAAAATGGAAAGAATCTAACTCTCCGTATCAAGGAAAAACTGTTTCAATAAATCAAGGTATATTATCACGATAGAATATTACATGGAAGTCTCTGTAAAGAATGATATGGAATTACTGGCAAAAATACGGTTAAATGGAAAAAATAAGACTATATACACACATATATATGGTTTGGTAACATTTTTGCTTAACTTTTTAAAAAAGATCTGAAAAACATAATTTTCTCCACTGTGGAACAAGGTGATGACTGAGGGCAATTTGAGCTTTAACTACATTGTCTGAAACTTCTATGAGAACATATTACGATAATGAAATAAAATTTGTTTGAAATGTAGAGATGAATAGCAGTGGGAACTTTAAAAAACCCAACATAATTATTAAATCAGATACATGTTTTCTTCGTTTTCTTTTCACCATTACTGCCTTTCTTACCTTTCTCCTATCTGAGCTACTTCAAGTAACAAAATAATAATAATAATAATAAAGTTAGAGTTGAAAGTATCTTAAAAACTATCTAGGCTAAGTACAATCCAATGGAATGGAATGCCAAGGAAGACAAGCCTGTTCAAGACCACAAAGTTATCTGAGCAGACCTAGATCTAAAAATCCTGCCTTGAGACTAGTAACCAAGGACTTTTACACCTAGGTCATGGCTGCTTTTAAGAAAATTTCTTCAAAGGAAGCAATTCAACACTTTCCATAAAGTACTGCAACATTAAATAATGAAGAGAAAATTCTTTTACTCAACCCAGTTACACTAATTTGGACTTTAAATCCACTCCATAACCTCCTATACTCAATGAAGCCAGTTTCTTCTTCATGATGAAAGGACATCTCATACTGTGGATATTATCCACTGGATAAATGATGGCAATTTGATGAGAACTGCTTATTCTTATAAATAAAGTGTAATAGCCCATCTTATTGAATAGCATACCCATCCCCGTCAGAAAGTGCCATCAGCCAAAATGTCCCCCAACAGGAGCCCGACCCGGCCCGAACACACACACACACACACACACACACACACACACACACACACCCCCACTGGAATCAACTTTGTTAAGAACTCTGGAAAATAGTCAAGGTTTACAGCAACCTAGTGAACACTGAATCAAGAAAAAAGTGAGTTACACAAGACATGTAAGGAAATCTCTGTCAAATCACAAGCACCAGCTTAAGAGAATAGAGCCTTTAGAGAGATCACACAAAGAATATGGTTTCTAAAAACATGCTCAAAGAGCTAAAGGAAACCGATGACAAAGAACTAAAGGAAAGGAGAATGGTGTCTCAACAAACAGAAAAATGTCAACACAGAGACAGTAATTATAAAAAGGAACCAAAGAGAAATTCTGGGGCTGAAAAGTTTAGTATCTGAAGTGAAAAATTCACTATGGGTTTCATTCAACAGCAGATTTGAGAAAGACAAATCAGCACACTTACCTTAAAGTTTGACTGAGAGTATCTAGACCAAAGAATAGAAAGAAAAAATTAAGAAAAATAAACAGAGCCTAAGAGACGTGTGGAGAACCATTAAGCCAATCAACAGAGGGTCCCAGAAGGAGAGAAGAGAATGGAGCAGAACGAGTATTTGGAAATATAAAAGACAAAAATGCCCCAAATCAAAAAAAAAGGACATAAATCTACACAAACAAGAAGCTCAACAACCCCACTTTTAAATACTGTGACATTCACAGGTACTCAACATCTCTGGGGGGGGATTCCACTGACAGCAGTATCGTTATAGACTTCACGAAATACACTTCAAGTCAAAAACAGTTATAAAAGACAAAGAGGGACACTGTATATTAATAAAAAGTCAACCAGTCAAGAAGATATCAGAATTATAAATCTAAATAAACCTAATCTATGGAGCAAAAAATGACAGAATTTAAAAGAGAAATCAGTATTTCTAAAATAAGTTGAAATTTCAATAACTTACTTAGTAATGGATAAAATAACCACTCAGAAATTCAGTTAGGAAATAGAGGACCTGAGTAACACTATACATTAAAAAAAAAAAAATTAAACCTAACAATAGAATACACAATCTGAAGTGCACACAGAAGATTCTCCAGAGGAGACCGTATATTAGGCCACTCAAGAAATTTACATCAGAAGGAAAACTAGAAAATTCACAAACACGCATAAGTTAAACAGCATACTCTTAAACAACCAGAGGGTTATTAAAGAAGAAATCACAAGGGAAATTAGAAAATACTTAGAGATAGCTGAAAATTAAAACACAACATATCATAAAAGATGGGTTGCAGCGAAAGCAGTGCTGAGGGAAATTTATAGACATAAATGGCTACATTAAAACAGAAAAAAAAGTCACATATCTAATCAATAATCTACATCTTAAAAAAAAGGGGGGGAAAGACGAAGCAAACCAAATCCAAGCTAGCAGAACGAAGGAAATAAAGAGTAGGGCACAGATAAATGAAATAAGAAAAATAGGAGACCAACAGAGGAACATTAATGAAGCCAAAAAGTTAGTTCTTTGAAAAGATCAACAAAATTGACAAACCTTTAACTAGACTGAAGGAAAAAAAAGAAGAGGCTCAAATTACCCCAAAATCTGAACACAAGTATAACAAGTGAAAGCACTTGATTAGTAATCAAAAACCTTCCAATGAAAAAAAGCCCAGGAGGAGGGGACCACTTCCCAACTCATTCTGTAAGGCCAGGATTACTCTGATCCCACAGCTAGACAAAGACACCACAAGAAACCTAGAGACCAAAATTCCTGCAAACCAAATCCAGCAGCATACTACGACTATGCAGCACATTAAAACTATGACCAAGTGGGACGAATCCCACGATTATGAGGGTGGTTCAACATACAAAAGTCAATTGATGCAATATACCACATTAATAGAATGAAGGGGAAAAAACCCCCACATCATCATCTCAATTGATGTAGAAAAAACATTGGACAAAATCAACACTTTTATGATAACATACAATAAACTAGGAATAGAATGGAACGTTCCCAACCTGATAGAGGGCATTTATCAAAACCTCACAGCTACCAGACTCAGTGGCAGAAGACCGAAAGCTCTCTTCCTAAGATCAGAGACAAAATAAAGATGCCCTTTTCCTCCACTTCTGTTTAACACTGTGCTGGAAGTTGCAGCCAGAGCAATTAGGCAAGGGAAAAAAAAAAGGCCCACAAATAGGAAACTCTTTTTGCAAATGAAATGACCTTATTTCTAAGGAATCTACAAAAAAAAAAAACTATTAAAGGTAACACACAAATTTAGCAAAGTTACAGAATACAAGATCATCAGACAAAAAGTGATTGTTTTCACTGAACCAGCAATGAGCAATCCAAAAAGGGAATTAAGAAAAGGATTCCATTAACAATTCAATTAAAAAGAATTAAACACTTAAATATTGCTAAAATGGCAATACTCCCCAAAGAGATTTACAGATTGAATATAATCCCTATCAAAATCCCCTCAAAAAAGGTCACACATTGTATAATCCCGTTTATAAGAAATATTCAGAACAGGGGTAGGGTAAATTCAGATTGTTTTCAGGTAATTAAGGTAAAAGCAAATCAATGTTTGTTAGAGGCTGGAAAGAGGGGGGGAATGGAAAATGACTACA